GAAAGAGGGTGAAGATAAACCTTACTGGATTTGGTATGATAAACATCTTTTACAGTGACTTCAGTACTTTCTATTATACTTGCATTTGACAAGCACTTTTTAGTGGGCACTGCCTCACTATTATACACACAGAGAATTCTCATTTTCTACAGAACTGTTACAGCTTGTTATTCTATTACTTATTTTTTCAGGGACACTGATTACTGGCTGAAATTTCCCAACAGTTCAAATTGATGATATACATACTTCAGGTAATGGGTGGTAAGTCCTTGGTATTTTTAAATCAATTCAGTATTTAACAATACTTTTCCAGATAATCACTCTCTCCACAGCAGTGCTGATGCTTCCTGCTAAAAACAAAATACTGGCAGCCCTCAATAATTTTACCTTGTTTGAAACACTGCTCACAATTGTAAAGAAGTTGTAACCTTGATGCTGGAATTGAACTAACTCCTAAGTGTAAGCTGAATATACTAGAGAAACAGATGAAGCAACAGCTGAAAGCTTTGCTGTCAGCTTTGATGCTGTAACTTCTCCAGTATTAAGCATAAACATCTTTAATTTTACTCAAAAGAAGAATGGAAATCATTCAGTAGAGACCAACCTATCTAACTCAAGGTGCACCATCTATGGTGGAATGAAGTAAAATTTTGAACTGCACTAGGACTTCAGAACAAATTCCAGCAGAGCTGCTCAAGTGGCAAGGAAAAACTGCAAGCAAATGTTAATAACTGAAAATCAACAGTGTCACTTACTTATCAAACTCTTTCCACACCTTGATTTCTGTACTCTCCTCTTTGTTTTCTTGAGCAGGAAGCTGGAGTGGCAAAAGAAGTTTTTTTCTTACACCTGGCAGGGACTTTAAATACGAAGAAAAGAAAGACCGTAGAGGCTTCAAACTGCACATAAATGGACAAAGCAAGGATTACTTTTCATCTCAGAAAGAGTGAGTAACCAAAGCAAATGAGTATATTTAGAAAGTAAGATATTCACTTTGGTTGATGTTTTTCACTTTTAGTGCAACATGTTATGTTTTGCTAGAAAGTGAAATGAGACAATGTTCAAAGCAGGAAGCTGAAGTGGCAAAAGAAGTTTTTTTCTTACACCTGGCAGGGACTTTAAATACGAAGAAAAGAAAGACCGTAGAGGCTTCAAACTGCACATAAATGGACAAAGCAAGGATTACTTTTCATCTCAGAAAAAGTGAATAACCAAAGCAAATGAGTATATTTAGAAAGTAAGATATTCACTTTGGTTGATGTTACGTTTTGCTAGAAAGTGAAATGAAATAATGTTCAATTTAGGAACAGTAATAACAATCATTGGGATTAGTGGTTTGAAAATCCATTCAAAATAAGAACACAACATGTTCATAAAATGTCTGTTTGCTTTACACAGGCAATGTTCACAGGGAATGAGTATTTTGACTTAGAAGCAAGTTTTTTTAAGAACTTTGATGCTTCATTAAGTCTTTTCCCACTTTCTTTCCAAAGTGTTTTCCTTTCAGAAGTATCACAGTCACAGACTAAAGCTATGAACAGGCAAAAGTACTATTTGGTCCTTACAAATAATACAGGTAACACACAGCTTCAGTCAATACAATGCATTGATTACCTGCCAGGACACAATGTCAGCATACATATGCAAAAAAAAAGGTTATAGAATAACTTGCTTTGCATGAAAGGAAGCTATGGAAGCTTTTTACACCTTAAGTGAAGCTCCCCATATTCCTCAGACAGGTGACTACTTACATGTTAACTAATCCATGGGACCCATTTGGATACATCAGATAGCACGAAGGGACTGAGGTAATACCAAGTTTCTCAAGAAAAAGTTTATCAGAATTCAATGCTCTCTTTACAACAATGTTTTCATACTGGATCAAGTCTAAGATAACCTGAGGAATGAAAAGATGACATCAATTATACACTGGTCAAGCAATATCCAATCTTGTAGGACAAGACACAAACAAGTGAAGTGCATCCCCTTCAAGGGCATCAATAAGCTGTTCACCAAGGGAGTGTATCTACAAGTATTCTATGGATGCTAACAATTTCAGTTAAAGAAGATCCAGTCTTCTCTGGAAATTGTTTCTCCTAACTCCTTTTTTTTTTTCCTTGGTCTATGATGACCTTTTCCCTTTGAAGTCTAACATCTAAAGAAAACATGAGAATGAATGATAAAATGTCCTCATAAACATCAAAATAGCCCACAGGATATTCCACAGGCACCAACAGGTTTATGAAGACCCTTCCCTCCTGCCACCAATGCTAAATACATGTCCTTCCTTCCTTTAGCTGCTGTGATTGCTGTTAGGTTTGTCCATATTGTCTTATATTGTAAAGTTGAAAACAATGTTATTTGCTATTTCACTAAACTATTCTATGAAGTTAACATATTGTGAATAGTTTTTCTTCTGAAAGCAAACTCCTCCTTCTGTTAATCAAATAACATCCAATCTTTCCCTGAAACAGCAGGTAATAAAATTAAAGCAAGTGTGGTAAAAATCTGAAGGGCTTTATAAGCATCACACTTCTCTTCAGTAATGCCCAGTTGTATCAACACAACAGCTTCCAGAAAACAAATATCTGGAAGCAGCCTGCTTTTCAAAGTGATTCTCACTTTTGGCAGCAAACTTTCCTCTACTTATGGAACTGGGTCATCTCAGCATCAAATCTGATTAGAAACATTTCACAGGCATTGGATGTTTCTACACAGATTATGCCTAGATAATTGTGCAGTTTATTTTCTTTACTTATCCTAGAGCTTGGCAGGAAGAGAAAAGTAACAGTTGCCTAAGCTAACAGCAGGCTCATTAGGTGGTGAAATGATGCCAAATCAAATATTTTTATTGGTAGGGTGGGGGAAACAAAACACCAAAGACTTCCACTTCCTCAGTGCCTCAGAGCTGTGACAAGTTTTATGCTATCATCTTAATTTAGAATGTAACTTCCTAAAACCTATACCCAAGAAAGAGAACCAGAGAATTTAGATTAACAGCTGAAATCACAAAAGCTCCCCAGGACAGTATTATGAATGGTTCTCTAGCAGTAACAAAACAACAGAATCTGACAATATTTTTGTTGCAATCTTTCAAATCTTGAAAGAAAAGAGAATTCTGCTAACAATGAAATTGATAGATGGTTCACTAAATAGTGAATAGAAGATGTTAACATGACACCACGTTCATGTGTAAATTAGCTCCTCTGTGTGACTAAACACAACAGCCCTATAGAATTCCTTTATTCCATGATACCTCAAATACACACAGGCTGCCCTTTATGACCCTTTAATTCAGTCCTATAACCAGAAATTTTGTGGCTTGGCTAAATAATATAAAATTCAGCTGTGTTATAACATTCACACATATCTGTCATTCCTCAGCCATACGTTACCTCTCGGCCCACATAGGAGTTATTGCTCTCAAACACAACAGCAGTGTAACCATGGCTCCTCTTGCCAAGGAGAGAAGAAACATCACTCCACCTTTGCAGAAAAGAACAGCTATTTAGCACAGGTAGAATGCAACACACCCACTGTCACTGCTGGAATTTCCTTTTACAACCTCATAGCAGAACTGAGAATAAGATAATAAGCTTATTTCATCTTTAATCAGACCTTCTACATGTTGATGAATTCAGTAAGCAGACATTTTAAACAGGGAACTCACGAAACTGGATCCAAGGAGGGGCAAGCAGGTGGCCTCAGCTCCTGGGAGTGGTTCTGTAAGAAGTCAATCATCATCTGACGAACTGTTTGCAGCTCTCGATCTGCTCCTGCTGAGTACAGGTTACAAAAAAATACACCACTTCAGAAAACTGGGGAAAAATTACTCCTGGGCAAGGTTTTCATACATCCTCATGCTTCTCTGTGTCAGGTTTTCGTTTCACATTTGGACTTAAAAAGCAGAATGCCATTTGGCTGAAAGAGGGACTGAGAATTTAGTTGTGGGATTTAATTTTAATGTTGGGATGAGATCTTATTTAAAAGCTGCCATCCTACCCCAAATTGAATAAAACTTCAAGGCTTTTCCAAATCAAACCATCTGACTGCTTTGCTTGGTTTTCTCTTCCAGCAATGCTTCATTCTCAGGGTGTGCTCATTTTCACCACAGTTGGCATGGACAACTTCAGTATTTTTTATGCACTAAGGGTATTGAGTGTGCACTGCAAAGCTGAGCCACTCTCACCAAAATGGGTCAGGTGAGACCCATCACAAAGCCACATAACAACATAAGAAAATAACTGAAGTGTGCTGTCCTGGGTTAATTAAAAATATGTATTATTTAATTTAAGAGAAAGGAAGTAAAAAGCAGAAATTCTCACAAGTAACAGGTACCACTACAGTCTGCTTCTAGAGGAAGGGTTAATGGTGCAGGTGGTCTCCCTTCTGACCTCTGGCCTTCTAAATGTTAATCCATTGAAAAAGACAACATTACTTTTGTCCCCAGACAAACCATCTCAAGCTGTGATCCCTCAGACACAGGGATAAGCCTGTTTTCAGTTAGTCAGCATCTGAATAGGGGTTCTCCCAGGGAGATTCAGGATGCCTGGGAAGTGGCTTGAGGGATCAAAAAGCATCCGAGTGGGACTGAGCAAATTGGATCTCACCCCGAGGAGGAGTGTGGTGGAAAAAAGGGTATTTTACAAAATTATCTAGACATTTGTGAAAATTCACAACTACATTTTAAAACAAGGAGGAATATGAGCCCTAAATTCTTGAACAAATGTTTTGTCTGTCTAAAATCCTGCCTGATTTTCATCCACTATTTGTAATATCCTATCTTAAAGACCTATTTAGTGTCCATCTCATCTCCAGCTGCCTAAACTAACTGACAGGTAACCAGATTTTGCTTATTGTGTGACACATTTTTGGCTGATAGGATAACTGCTTTGGGGATTTTTTACAGTAGCATATTCTTACCTTTGTAATTTTCTCCAGTAGTAAACTGCTTTGTAAATGCTTTGAAGTACTATGTGGGAGAAAAAAACAATAGTATTATTACTTTAAAAATAACTCCCTGTATAAGATGAAAGCTCAGTTTAGAAACAAAAAGGGTTTTCAAGAATTTTTACATTTTAGAGCTCTAATTACAAAACATTTTTATCTGGCTGTGCAGAAGAGAGTTTTCCCTCTTAGCCTAGGAGTTCTACAGTAAAGGCAATTTTTAGAGGGAAGATACCACAATGCATAATTCAACACTGTATATTGATCCATCACTGCAAACATTAACCCAAACACCAATTAGCAGATTACCAAATCAGTACTACCAACTGTGTATATACTTAGAACACTATTCTCATTTTCTCAACTCACTCCAGTGGCTGAAGAGATTATAAACAATAAAATATATCTGCTATAAACAATAAAATAGAAAAGGTTCAGTGTCTAATAAAGACAGCATTACAATTTATACCCAAAATTTTAAAGATTAAAAGAAGAATAATGTTCTATCAGGGCAGAACCTCACAAATTCTACAGTGAAATGTCTCCTGTTCCCTCTCCTGTCATAACAAACAGTTTATTCAATCCTCTCCATCCAGCACATTCTGCTTACACTTACAGTTAATAATGTGATTATACAGACTGATGAGGGCAGAGAAGTTAAAAATTGCACTTAGACCTGAAGATGAACAATGGTGGATACTTCTGACAAACACAAGATCCCTTTTAAAAGCCAATTTAAGAAAATGATGAAAATAATTAGAAAAACAGTGAAAACAGACAAGGATCAAGAGTAAATTTTTAACTGAGCCCTGGTCATGCAATCAGCTGATTTCATGATGCCATGTCAATGTATCACCTTTACTTTCACATAGCAAAACTAAAATCACTGTTAATCTTCACAAACAACTGAATTTGAGAAATATTTATACAAATTGTTATTATCTAATGATCTATCATAAGTGTTTTATCAATGTAACAACAGTGCTTTCTAGAACAGTCCCTTCTTTCAGCAAGAATTCTTCAGAATCAGAACTGAGGACTTAAATACTACCACAAAAAACTGCATCAGCTATTGCATTCAGCAAGAACAGCTCAAATTAATCTTTCATCAGCCCTGCAGCTTTCTCATCAGAAGCGAAGAACAGCTGAGGAACAAGTAGTTCCATGTTAACACTCTGCCCAAGCAAGTTTGTTGTGGTTTTAGCTCCCACCCAGCACACACTGGTTACCCAAGGGAACACAGGCTGCCACTTACCCTGAACGTTGGGTAGTAGTGGATACCATATTCCTTGCACGTCTCATAGTTCTCTTCTTCCCCACAGTCCAGCACACCGACTCGAATTGCAGATTCCCAGTCTGAAAACAAAGATACCTTGAAGTTTTCAGCAGCACTCATCACAGATCCCAGCTGATGATCACCCTGCTTCCCATGCAATCAACAACTGAGCTCCCAGAGATTCCAACAGCAGAAACATCGAGCCCTCGGTCGATCCTCATTTGCTATTGGTTTCCATTTTCAAGTGTAATACAATCTACTGATTTTTAAAAGAACTAAAACCTCCCTGGTTTTCTTAGCTGCATCAGGACTTTCAATACACCCAAATCAGAAGACTCCCAACACACAATGTAGCACTTCCAGGGCTGAAACCATTTTATTGAATCCAGGAAAATGAAACAGAGGCCAAGGCAATCTTTTCAAGATACCAGCCTGCATTCTGCAGCTTCTCCCTCTCACTAAGCTCATAACATAAAGCATGCAGAATACATAACTGAATAAAATTAATCCAGCAGCTACTCATCTAAGCAGCTGTCAATTACAAAGCCATAAATTCCATGCATCTCCTACTGCAGCTGTTTCAGCAAGGATTCATTATTTACCTAACTCTCAGTTTTCTCTGAGGCCTCCAGATGTGCAGAGAACCCCAGGCTCACGTGCTGTTTGCTGAAAGCTGTCTTTATCTTCTAGCACTGTTCAGGAATACATTAGACATACCCAAAACAAATCTGAATTTTAGAGTGCTAAAGAGTTGAGCTTGAACATCACTGTGAGTTTCCTTTATAAATGTTTCACAGCAATAACCACAAGAGTTTAAGTATTTCTGTAAATATGCTTATATAACTCCAGTAAAGCTTTCAAGTCTTTTCTAGCTTTTTCCCCTCTCATTTGGCCAGGAACTTATCTTCTGGAGCAGTCACTTTGAGGAAGAACTGCTCCAAGAGACTCCCTGGACAGTTACTTTTTAAAGCTCAGCTACATCAAACCAGCTGTGGGCAGAATTTGAAGGTACAGCACAGTTCCCAAGCATCACTAACATTTCAAAAGCACTAAAGTTAAACTTGTTTTTATAGCAATGAGCACAAAAGCTTCATCAAGTTCAAGACCTGATTGACAGCAGCACGCCTGGCTGCTCTGGAAATTTCTCTTGACCTTTATTTGTCTTTGGAGGAGGATGGGGCAGCTGATGGAGAATTCACTTGTGCTGAACATGCCACCAGCTGAACAGGCACCAGGAGTAACTACAAACATGCTAGAGCAGATGGGCACGTATTCAGTGGAGCACAAAAGACACAACAGTCTATTTCATCAAATAAAATGCAAAATAAAAAAAGAAATCACAACATTGGCTTCTGGGTATCTATCTCATTCAACTTTCCACCACTCCTCCCCCTTTTTCCACCTGTCCTGCTCCTCCTCCCTGGGATGAATAGCCACACCATGAACCTCATGCAAATAGGCTGCTGACAACAATGCAAACCCAACTCCAGCCCAAGGCTGGGGTTAAAGAGCAGCAGCTGGGCTGGGTGCTGCTGAAAGGAGCTTTTCCTGCAGCAAGGATGCTGAAGCTGCTGCAGTGCACAGCCTAGAGCCAGTTTACTCCATAGCTTCAATTGTTTTGGATTTTTTTTAATGCTTGTTAATTTTAAATTAGCATTAGTGTCTTTGAAATACTCACACACTGTATCAGAGGGGTAGATGAGTGGTGTCCTATTAATTAACACTACGTCTGTTTATGCTAAACAAGTTTCAATGAATGACATGAACGTTTTGGGCAAACTCAAAATCCAGGAGGTTGATCCAACCTCCCACTTCAGAAATGCTGCAGAACAGCCACACACCAGCCAGGGTGTATTATGAGGAAGACACTTTCTGTGCATAAACCTTGAGTAGGTTGATGCCATCCCATACATAATCTTCCACTACAAAGTTTCAGTCAGGCAAATAAGATGCATCACAAGGAACCTCTCCCTGCGTGCTGCTTGGGAGTTACACATTTTAAATACATAGGCTGCTTCCAAAACTATGCCAAGGTTTCTGCAGCTCCCCACCAAATATGTTTAAAGAACAATTTCTAGAAGGAAATCATTATTGCTAGATTTGGAACAGTTGTTCCCCATCCAGAGGAGTGCATTGCTTCTGTACATAATTCATGGCCTGTTGTAAAAAGCATTTCCAAGCGTTTGTTGCTTCTACACAGAAAATTACCACACAGTATTCCAGCCCACAGGCATTTGGGTGGATAGATTCAATCATCTTTTAAGACAGGAAAAAAAAAAACAATTAACTGTAATGGCCATTTTGGACACTACTGTAATAAAACTAAATGTGTGGTTGGGAAAGCAGCAGCAAGGACTCTAAACTCAGGAGTCTGTTCTGAGAGGAGAGGGAGAACTGAATCCAAAATGCCAACTGCACAAGAGGAGCAAACACTGCTCCTGGTTTTCAGGAGGATTACATTCTGCTATGAAGTTTGCAATAATAGTATTGCCAAGACTTAACAAATGAGATGAAAATTAAGTATATTAGCACAGGCCTTTTATGGACAAAGTAGTTGCACCCGTTTAAACGGATTATATCCAATGAACTACTACAGCCCAGGATCCAGGAGTTCTCTAATGCAGATGAGTCTGCATCCTCAAGGACAGCTGGAATATCCCAGATGATGAGCAAATACTTTTGACAAATAAATGTTAAGCACCCTCCTAAGGGGGTGGGGAATGTTTTGGTGTGGTTATTTTTTGGATGAAGCTACCAATGAAAAGTGTGACTGTTCTCAGTCTCCTACTAAAATCCACTCATTCCAACTTTAAAATGGAAATATTTTGCTGAAAAGTTACCAACTGCATTTGCTGCTAGTGCCAATGTCCACAAACATAAAAAACTACTTTTTAAATGAGAGTCTCCATAAAAACTTCATGGATTAAAGAGCAGACAGGCCTTTAATTGGTTATAGTAACACAAGTGCATAATATCATTTGTAGTTATTATGAGTGCAGATGAGAAAGAAAATATATCTCTGAAGAAGTTGCTACAAGTTGCAAAAAAAAAAAATATTGCCTACAAAGGTATCATACAAAGGTCATACAAAGGTATTATATAGTAATATATAAACAAATCCCTGCCTTATTTTGACAAAAGCTCTGGTCAGTTCAGCCCCTTTGTGATCTTTACTGCACTGTTCAATCACATTCCTACGTTTCTTCAGGAAAGAAGAAAATCTAATGCTATTTTGGCCACAAGGAAATCAAATCAGAAGCTGGAAATGTGACACAAATTTACACAAAGAAAACAGAAAAAAAGCTACTGCTTTTGTCAACAAAAAGCCCAGTGCAAGTAAGGAGTCCTGGAAACGCTCCCAAACCATTACTGCTCTGTGATTCTCATTTCTGAGCTTCTGCTCGTTGGTCAGCAATCCTCACCCACATGACAAGTTCATCAGGGCCTATTTTTAGATAGGCCTCCACTTCTGTTTGTCTAAACCCACGTCCACCTAATACTGCACCTACAGTTCATGTTAATCGTTAACACTTTTCACATACGTGGCTGACAGAAAAAACAGAGCTCTTCACTGCCTCCCAAACTGAAACCATGTGAATGCATTAGAAACTCTGTCTCCACCCTGGAGACGTCTCTTGGGTCAAACACTAAACTAGGAGTAGTTTAAAAGCCTTTAACACCACTCTATTAAACATAATATTTCCTACAAAACTGACCTCAGGTCTTCTCTCCACCAGATGTGTTGAATTTAACCTGCATCAGAGGGGGCTGTTTGTTTCCTCACCTTGGATCTACAGAGTAAAACACTTCAGCATTTGCCAGAAAAAAACAGAGCAGACTAAGACACAGCAAGACAATTGTCCCTTGGTATAAATTGTGGAGGCCACCAGTTCTTTTTAAGTCATTATTTGATGAAAATCTGACTCTCACTTAGGCTGATTTTGGTATTAATTCCTAGCAGTACTCCTCTCCTCTGCAGATATAAACCAAACACGTGCATGGCCTCTCTAGTACCACAGCCTTTTTCCTTTAGCCTCTACAACAGGCCAATCTCTTAAGAAAACACTCCAAAGATAAAGATCTTGTCTCACAGAGTCTGAACACACCTCCTGTGCCTCAGCACATCGACCTGCACACACACACACAGATGCTCGCGTGTGAATCCACAGCTGGGTCACTGCGTGTGTGAGGTGGTGGTGTGTTATTCCTCCAAAACCTTGAATTTGGAGACTTTCTAGTATCTTCTATGCTCCGCTTTGTCCTGAGTGCCGCTCGGGCAGCGCGGCAAGGGCTGTTTGCCACCAGAGAAGTGGGGGGTGACCCCACGCCGAGCAGAGCCAGGCGCGGCCAGGCCCCACGGG